TGGTGGCGTCCTGGAGTTTGACCGAGCACAGAAAACTCAAATTCTCAAAGATGCAGGAATGTGTTTGAAACCACATCCACAATGGCCATTCAGCTCCATTTTGAATGTCTGAATCAGTTAATCCATTTCGATTTTTAAACACACTCTCATTTAATGGTGAAAGCAGATGTACACTGCATGTTTGACATAACACAGAAATTCTAGTTAGCATAAAGACAAATCATATAAAAGCCAGAATGACTTCTACATGACTTAATATTTGAAAATTTCTTCCATCACTAATGAGGAACCACTGAAGATTGTAGTTCAGGACAGTGACAGGTCCAGGGTTGAGCTATAACTTTTGTCTCCATTTAAAGATATTCCCAGTGGCCTTCCCAGATGGAACAGTGGTAAAGAATCTGCCTGCTTGGGTACTCTTTCTACCCCCTTCTGATGTCTATGTCAGAAGCCTTCTCTATCTCCTTTATACTTTAATAAAACTTTATTGCACAGAAGCTCTGAGTGATCCAGCCTCGTCTCTGGCCCTGGACTGAATTCTTCTCCTCCAGAGGCCAAGAACCCTGGCATCTTTGTGTGATTCAGAAACAACCTTTCAAAAGATTCCAGTTCAGAGTTCCAGTTTATAATCCCAGGACACAGACTGATATCATCACCAATCTGTGAGCAAATAGTAGCTCTGACTTCATGTTAATGCATAAAACTTGGAATTTTGTTAAGCCCAGTACTTGGTTGGCCAGCCTTACTCCAGGGACTCAACAATCTCCAGATTCATCCCCGATCTTATCTATGGTGCTGCAAGACTTTCACTGATGGCAGGCAGTCACTCATATTCAGGGCAGTGTCCAGGCAGGTTAGAAGCAAATTCAGAGGCCTGCTGTGCTTTCTCTCTGAAGCCTAAACAAGACTATTTGTCTAATTTCCTTAACAAGGGTTCTAACAGTTGCTTCTTGACTTGCATACATGTTTTTCAGGAGACAGGTAAGATGGTCTGGTATTCTCATCTCTTTGAGAGTTTTCCACAGCTTGTTATGATCCAAAGCTTTAATGTAGTCAATGAAACAGAGGTAGATGTTTTTCCGGAATTCCCTTGCTTTCTATGATCCAGCAAATGTTTGCAATTTGATCTCGAGTTCCTCTGCCTTTTTTGAAACCCAGTTTGAACATCTGGAATTTCTTGGTTCACATAATGCTGACGCCTAGCTTGGAGGATTTTGAGCATAACCTTATTAGCATGAGAGATGAGTGGAATTTTCTTGTGGTCTGAGCATTCTTTAGCACTGCCCTTCTTGGGAATTGGGATGAGGATTGATCTTTTCTAGTCCTGTGGCCACTGCTGGGTTTTCCAAATCTGCTGGCGTATTGAGTGCAGCACTTTATTAGCATCATCTTTTAGGGTTTTAAATAGCTCTGCTGGAATTCCATCACCTTCACTGTCTTTACTGGCAGCAATAGTGCTACCACTTCGCACTTGCTAAGGCCCACTTGACTTCACACTCCAAAATGTCTGGCTCTGAGTGAGAGACTACACTTAGTTATCTGGATCTTTAAGATCTTTTCTTGACNTAGCCTTTGACCTGCTTCATTTTGTTCTCCAAAGCCAAACTTGCTGTTACTCCAGGTATATCTTGATGTCCTACTTTTGCATTCAAATCCACAATGATGAATAGAACATCTTTTTTAGGTGTTAGTTCTAGGAGGTCTTCTAGGTCTTCATAGAACTGATCAACTTCAGTTTCTTCAGCATCCGTAGTTGGGGAATAGACTTGGATGACTGTGATGTTGAATGGTCTGCCTCAGAAATGAACTGAGATAATTTTGTCATTTTTGAGGTTGCACCCAAGTACTGCATTTTGAATTCTTGTTGATTCTGAGGGCTGCTCCATTTCTTCTATGCAATTCTTGCCCACAGTAGTAGATATAATGTTCATCTGAATTTAATTCACCTATGCCTGTCCATTTTAGTTCACTGATTCCTAAAAAAAAAAAAAAAACAAAGAATCTGCCTGCCAAGGCAAGAGATGCAGAAGATGCTAGTTCAATCCCTGGGTTTGGAAAACCCCTGAAAAAAGGACTGACACCCCACTCCAGTATTCTTGCCTAAAGAATCCCATGGACAGAGGAACCTGATGGGCTACAGTCCATGGGGTCGCAGAGTTGGACAAAACTGAAGCAGCTAGGCACACAGATCAACTGCAGTGAACTGAACTGAACTGAATCTCATGGTCATTTTAGCCATACCATGGTTGTGTAGGGCTTCCCAGGTGGCACAGTGGTAAAGAATTTGCCTGCCACTGCAGGAGACATGAGATGCAGGTTTCATACCTGGGTTGGGAAGAGATCCCTTGGAGGAGAGCATGGCAATACACGCCAATATTTTTGCCTGAGAATCACATGGACAGAGGAGCCTGGAGGGCTATAGTCCATGTGGTCACAAAGAGTCGAACACGACTGAGTGACTGAACACAATGCAACAAAATTTTTCCCACGCCACATAGAATAACCAGGAGTGTTTTTTGACCTTATCTGGGCCCTGTTTGCTTACCTGGAATGACATTCTGTACAGAACACACTGTAACCTAGTAAGATCCTGCTCGGGCATCTATTGATGACCTCATTTTAGAAAAGTTCCCCACTACCCACAGGAACTGTGCAGTTGGCCGTAATTGCTATTGTGCTATTCCAAGCAACAGCATTGCCACACAGCGGTTCTTCATTTCCTCTACTGAACTATGATTGCTTCCAGGAATGAAAACGGTTTTCATCTTATTCCTTATTACAAGGCGAAGTACCTGGCACAAGTCAGTCAGTCAGTCAGTCATTTCAGTCGATCAGTCATGTCCATCTATTTGCGCCCCCATGAATCGCAGCACGCCAGGCCTCCCTGTCCATCACCAACTCCCGGAGTCTACCCAAACCCATGTCCATTGTGTCGGTGATGCCATCCAGCCATCTCATTCTCTGTCGTCCCCTTCTCCTCCTGCCCTCAATCTTTCCCGGCATCAGGGTCTTTTCCAGTGAATTGTCTCTTTNCTTGAGACTGTCCGTAACCTACCGAGACGTCTGCCGGCTTGCACATACTCCTTAGTCAAAACGGCATGATACACGGACCTCTCCCCCTGCCTCTTCAGAGCGATTTCTCAGAGCTTTCTGGAAAGCTGTCTCCAGGCCACAGTCCTCAGTGAGACGCCGACTGAAACTCAGCTCACAGCTCGCACACTGGCGGCTGATTCCCAGCGGACAGAGGGCTCTCTCCTGGGTGCCACTTTGTCTCAACGCGGAAGACTTTCACAAAGGGCATGTGCACGTGCAAATTCTACAGCTCACTAAGGAGTTCAGTTCTGTAGGCACACTCAGCTTAGTTATCTGGTACTTGGAACATATTTCCTCGGAGGAAAACAAACAGCACTGTCGGTACTTACAGTACTCTGTAACCTAATGGCTGCTTATCATAAAAGTTCCTAAGGGAAAATTAATCCAAAATTAATTTCTAATTGAGATATTCAGAACATATCCCTTCTTTGCCTGCTCCTCTCTCCCTACACACCTCACTCACCAACTTCCATACACACAAGAACTGCCATTAGGAGCTCTTGGGAGTCTTCTTCCCATTAAATGCACCAAGTACCAGCAGAGACCTTCTAGGGGACTAGCAATGGCTCCTGAAGCCTTGAAAAGGCGGTCAAGGACACAGGAAAGGTGAGGGAAAGAAAGGCAAGCCTCAGGAAGGAGGTGAAGGCGCAGAGAAGGGAGAGATGTGTGCTTACGTACACGTGCCGGGGGAATGGACTGCTGGGAGAACCCAGAGTAGCTGGGTTTGCCTCCTTCCCTCTCTCTCAGTAGGTGAGTGATGCACATGATAGCAAAGTTCTGTTTGTAATAAATTACAGGGAGATATATCAATAACCTCAGATATGCAGATGACACCACCCTTATGGCAGAAAGTGAAGAGGAATTAAAGAGCCTCTTGAAGGTGAAAGAAGAGAGTGAAAAGCTGGCTTGAAACTCAACATTAAAAAAAAAATGAAAATCAGAAAAAGATCATACATCCAGTTCCATCACTTCATGGCAAATAGATGGGGGAACAATGGAAACAGTGACAAACTTTATTTTCTTGGGCTCCAAAATCACTGCAGATGGTGACTGCAGTCATGAAATTAAAAGACACTGGCTCCTTGGAAGGAAAGCAGTGACAAACCTAGACAGCATATTAAAAAGCAGAGACATTACTTTGCCTTCAAAGGTCCACACAGTCAAAGCTGTGGGTTTTCCAGTAGTCATGTATGGACGTGAGAGTTGGACTATAAAGAAAGATGAGTGCTGAAGAACGGATGCTTTTGAACTGTGGTATTGGAGAAGACTCTTGAGAGTCCCTTGGACTGCAAGGAGATCCAACCAGTCCATCCTAAAGGAGATTAGTCCTGAATACTCATTGGAAGGACTGATGCTAAAGCTGAAACTCTAAAACACTGACCCCTTAATGCGAAGAACTGACTCATGTGAAAAAACCCTGATGCTAGGAAAGATTGAAGGCGGGAGGAGAAGGGGACAACAGAGGATGAGGTGGTTGAATGGCATCACCGACTCAATGGACATTGAGTTTGAATAAGCTCCGGGAGTTGGTGATGGACAGGGAGGCCTGGCATGCTGCAGTCCATGGGGTCCCAAAGAGTCGGACACGACTAAGGGACTGAAATGACTGAACTGAAAGCCTTTACATCTGTAAGAACAAGCTGCTGTGAAATCGCCTTCAGAAGTCAATCGCCCACAGTGCAAAAACCATACAGAAGCGCCAGACGGGAAAGACCTATTCATTCCCCAAACGGCCCGCAAGATGTCTCGCTTTACGGCAAGTCCCAAGCGTTCGCCATAGATGCCGTAAAAGGGAAGGACGCCCTCTAGGGAGAGTCTCCGGCTTCCGGCTTCACGACGCATTCCGGGCGGGAAAGGGCTCTCCGTCGGTTGGAGAGGGGGGTTTCGCCCCGCCCCATCGGGCCGGGCTTCCGCCAACCCGGGAGGCGTGTTCCGGGCTTTCGGCCCTGCGCTGGACGCCGGTTACGACCTCTCTCCCTGTCGCCGGTGCTATGGAGTCGCCGGGGGAGGCGGAAGTCGAGAATGAGGACGGCGACAGCAACTGCGGGGATTTGTGCTTCATGGACAAAGGCCTGCGGAGGTAAAGGGCGCTCCCGCCGCCGGGAGCGGCCCGCGCAGCCCCGGTCGGGGGTCGTGGGCCTCGGGTGGCCTCGGGGTATAGCGGAGATGCGGAGCGGCTTCTCAGAGGCCGCGCCCGAAGGCGTCTGGCTTCGCCTGCCGCTCCGCGCCACAGCCGCGCTGCTGAGGGGCCAGCCTCGTGTCCAGCGGGCCGCCCGCCCTCCGCTCCCGGGACTACCCGCGTCCCTGCCAGCCTTTGTGGGTCCTTTCTTCACCGCTGCTGTTCGTTTGCTCGCTCTGTCGTTCCTGGTCCTCTCGGGTTCTGTCCTCTCTGCCCCTTCCCTGTGACAGAAAGTGGCAGCGGAGTGTCTCTGGCAGCTGTGAAGTAAGAATTGGCTGCTCTTCATTGGTTTTGCCTCGGTTCTCTTTGCCCCCATTCTGATTTCTCCTTTGCAGAGCGCTGTGATACGTGTATTGTTCACGCTTTTTGAAAATGCTAACCCTATTTAGTTTACCGTTTCCTTGTTTCATGCAGCCCAGGCGTGTGCACGATGGTAGGCTCTTGGTTCTGCGTTCCTAATTGGCCCCGGTGCTTTTTTTCAGTCTCAGCCCTCTCCCTTTCTCCATTTGACACCCTGTAATTAGCCACACTAAAGGCCCAGGCAGGCAGTTCTGTGCCACTGTAGGCTTGTCTTTGCCTTTCCCAAACGTGGTTTCTTTGTTGCCTGCGCTCTCTGCACACCCTGCTGATAATTAAAATAGCTGGTTCTGGATCTCTATCTAAAATTTGTCAGAAAATTCCACAAGGGTGTTTCTTCCAAAGGACTGTTTATATTTAATAATAGCTGCCACGTTGAATGCCATCTATGTGTGTGACTGTATTATCATCAATCCTCAGAATTGTGCAAGGTAGTAATGTTACAGGGGACATACCTGAGACTCAGATCTTTATAACTTTCGCAACTTCATGCAGCTGGTGGACTAAGTTTGAATTCAAAATCATTTCTGTCTAATTTCACGGTCTGCTTTTCAGACAGATAACTATACTAAGATATCTGCACAATATTATCTTCCAGAAACAATGTTTCAGAAAATAAATGTCTGTCATTAAGAGCATGTGTTACTAGCATAAGGTCTGGCACTAAATAATAGCTCATCCTGGGTCTCCTGCATTGCAGGCAGATTCTTTACTGTCTGAACCACCAGGGAATACCCAGTTAATGACAGAAGCTAGATAATTGGAAAATATTAGGAATAGTCACATTCAGAGAGTGCTAGTATGAAATTTAGAAACACATAATCTTTTTCTGCCGGGGTTCTTACGAGCTTCAGTATGAAGAGTAAAGCATAAACTGATCTTACGACGTATTCAAACTTTATGTGTTTCAATTTTAAATTTGAGATTCTTAATACTAATTTGGAAGCAAACCTGAATTCCTTGTTTTCCCTTTTTACTCTTTGGCTGCTAACTCATTTTCCCGCTGTGAGATTTCCTACAGCTTTACTGTAGCTTCTACAAAACATGGAAGAGATGCCCCTGATTTTGTGTGTCCCAGTTCTAGCATCTCTGAATTATGTGCACTGTAGCTTATATTCCTGGAACTCCTATCTTCAGAAGAGACTCTAGTTAAAAATGGCAGCAATTCAGAGAATGAAAAGATGAGTTCTGTCTAGAGGAGATGCGGTCCAAATTTCAGCAAGGGAGGACAGGGACTTTTTCACTACGAATGGCTATAGCTAGTGGTTTCTTTTGAAATCAGCTACATTCTGGGTTAAACACATTGCAGACAGTGATGAGAGTGATTGTAAACTCAAGTGTCAGATCCATATTTATTCTGGCTCAATTAGGTAATTTGCACAAGAACTTGGACAAGTTACCTACTTTCTGTAAATTGTATCCTTAAATACCTACTGCTTGGAGTTGTGAGGATTAAATGAGCAGGGGGAAACAGGTTTAGAGAGACTAATTCAAATAACATAGCAAAAAAAGTGCAGATTTGAACTTTTATAAATATTGCTTTTGCTTTATACTGATGACTGCATATAAAACCTAGAAATGCCCAGCATCCCTTTCCTTTCTTGATTGAGTTACTTATCTATATAAATAGTACCAAATACTGGCTGGTTGTAGGAAACATTGCACCTTATGAGACATTTCAAAGCTACCATAAGTAGGAAAAATTTTATTATAGAATGAATAGAGTACCTGCATATTATCTGCATGCTCTTTGGTTAATTTTAGTTTTTTAGTCATGATTTTTAAGTCCATTTTTTACTTGTTTTTAATAATATATATTTTCCTTTGTAGCATATCAGAGTTATCTTTAGATTCAGCTCTTCATGCCATCAATCTGCATTGCAATAACATCTCAAAGATCACATCCATTGATCACATTTGGAATTTACAACATTTAGATCTGTCATCTAATCAAATAAGTCAAATTGAAGGACTAAACACACTGACAAAACTATGCACTTTAAATTTGTCCTGTAATTTGATTACAAGAATAGAAGGTTCGTAAGTGCTTTTCATGTATTATTTTGTGTAAGGAAGATGATAAATATTCATAAATTTTTAAGTCATTATATAAAAAGTTTTTTTCTAAAAATGTTACCAATTTTTTAAAAAATTATTTTGCAGAGTACCAGTAAAACTGATTTCATTGTTATCAGACTGTAGATTTGCTTCAAAGCAATCTGAAATAGTATTGTAATATTATATAATCCTAATTAGTTGATTATTTGAACCTTATAATGACTTTATTTTATTTTAGGTCTTGAAGCACTGAGTAATCTGACTAGACTGAATTTATCTTACAACCACATAAATGATCTTAGTGGTAAGTAGATGAGCTTCTGTTTTCTATAAAGCTGAGTATTGGGCACATGTAATGAGTGATATAGCTCTGCATGTTGTAGAACTGAATAATAAAATAATTTTTGACTTAAAATCTCATCTAGAGAGTGTTTCTCAATCATATTTTCTTTGCTGGAGCTGAAACTATAGATGAAGAAAAAATCAGGAATAAAAACTAGAGTAATGAGTTACAGAAAAAATTTGGTTAAGAAGGACATACTTTGGGAGGGATGTACTTTTAATCTGAGAGAATTGGTGAGTTATCTGTTACTAGTATATAGAGAGGAATAGTTGCAATAGAACTTTCCACAGTGATGAGAACTCTCTGTGTGTGTGCTGTCAGATATGGCAGCTAATAGACAGGTGTGCCTTTGAGCTCTTGAAATGTGGCTAGTACACTGAGGAACTGAATTTGTAATTTTAGTTAATTTTAATTAAATTTTTATTTCAATTTAAAAAGCTACATGTGGCTAGCACTACCATGCTCGATGTAACATAGGTGTGTAGCATTCCAAAGGCTATAGCAAATTGACTGTCAAACAAAGGGTTTTTTCTTTTTGACATTTCCCTGTCTTAAGGACACTAAAAACTGTTAATCTTTTAATGACGTACAGTGATACACTAACATAGTGAGCAAAGTTTTATGATGATTCTTAAAATAATCTCTCAGAACCAGGGAAATTCTGTAATTATTCTCATGCTGCTTCTTGTCTGTTAGTCAATCAGTCTCGTCCAGCTTTTTGCAAACCCAGTCCACGCCAGCGTCCTCTGTCGGTAGGACTCTCCAGGCAAGAACACTGGAGTTGCCATTCCCTCCTCCAGGGGATCTTCCTGACCCAGGGATCAAACCTCCATCTCTTGCGTCTCAAGTATTGGCAGGTGGATTCTTTACCACGGAGCTATCTGGGAAGCCCCTAATTATCTTCATAATCCTTATCAATACTGTATTTGAAGCAGTCTTATTTCATTTGTTTGCTTTTCTCCCCTGCTAGGAAAATACTATCTTATGCCAGGAATTTAGTACCCAAAAAATAAAATACAGTGACCTAGTCCCTACCCTTAAGCAAAGCAGCAAAAATATTTTAATTTGTAAAAACATTTTTCCCCCAAAGTGTGAAAGTATTAGAATTGAGTATTAACCATAGCTGTCTCTGCTGTGTGATGTTAGGCAAAGTATATTGTTCTTTGGATGCAGCTTCCTTAACTGAAAAATGTGAATCTCAGATAAGATAGTTTTACTCAACAAATATTTATTTAAGTTTCTTGTCATAGGGCTTACATTGTAGTGGGGAAATAAAACAAATAAATGAGATCATGTCAGCCCCCTAAAAAAAATAAGCAAAAGATTTGAACAGACTCTTCTCCAGAGGATATCCAAATGACAAGCACCAAAAAAAAAGTTTTGCATCCTTAGTAATTAAGGAAATACAAATTAAAATCACAGTGAGATCCATTTCATACCTCTAGACTAGATATAGTTTTAAAAAATTACAATACAAAATGTTGGTGAGATAGATTAAAGCTTGCATGCATTACTAGTAGAATTCAAAATGGTAAAACTACTTCAGAAAATAGTTTGAAGGTAAGCATATAATCATGCGTTTCTACTCCTAGGTGTTTACCCAGCAGAAATGAAAACATGTCTAATCAAAGACTTGTATATGAATGGTAAAATGATTATATTTCTTTTCTAAATTACCACGTTTATACGGTTATTCATAATCTCCAAAACTAGAAAACACTGACATGTCTATCACCTGGTAAATGGTTAAACAAATTGTGTTGCATCCACAGGATGGATTATTACTTGGCAATAAAAAGGAATGAACTATTGGGTCTTCCCTGGCAGTCCAGTGGTTAAGACTCCATGTTTCTAATGCAGGGGGTGTGGGTTGGAGCCCTGATGAGGGATCTAAAATCTTACATGTACAGCACCCCCCCACAAAAAAGAGTGAACTATTGATATATGCAGCAACATAGGTAAATCTAGAAATATTACAGTAAGTTATGCTAAGTGAAGACTCCCTGGTAGCTCAGTTGGTAAAGAATCTGCCTGCAATGCAGGAGATGCCGGTTTAATTCTTGGGTCGGGAAGATCCCCTGGAGACGGGGTAGGCTGCCCACCCCAGTGTTCTTGGCCTTCCCTGGTGGCTCGGCTGGAGAAGAATCCACCTGCAGTGAGGGAGTGTTGGATTGGCTTAAAACTCAACATTCAAAAAATGAAGATCATGGCATCCGGTCCCATCATTTCATGGCAAACAGATGGGGAAACAGTGATGGACTTTATTTTCTTGCGCTCCAAAATCACTGCAGCCATGAAATTAAAAGATGCTCTTTGGAAGAAAAGCTATGATCAACCTAGACAGCATATTAGAAATCAGAGGTGTTACTTTGCCAACAAAGTTCCATCCAGTCAAAGCTGTGTTTTTTCCAGTACTCATGTGTGGATGTGAGAGTTAGACCATAAAGAAAGCTGAGCGCCAAAGAATTGATGCTTTTGATCTGTAGTGTTGAAGAAGACTCTTGAGAATCCCTTGGACAGCATGGAAATCAAACCAGTCAATCTTAAGTCAGTCCTGAAAACTCATTGGAAGGATTGATGCTGAAGCTGAAACTCCAATACTTTGGCCACCTGATGTGAAGAACAGACTCAATGGAAAAGACCCTGATGCTGGGAAAGATTAAAGACAGGAGAAGGGGATGACAGAGGATGAGATGTTTGGATGGCATCACCAACTCGATAAGTTTGAGTAAGCTCCGGGAGTTGGTGATGAACAGGAAAGCTGCAGTCCATGGGGTTGCAAAGAGCCGGACACAACTGAGGGACTGAAATGAACTCAAGCTAATTGGAGGGAGCAAATCACAGAAGATTATATTGTATGATCCTATGTGTGTGATATCGGGAGAAGGTGGTGGCACCCCACTCCAGTACTCTTGCCTGGAAAATCCCATGGACNGTCCATTGAGTCGGTGATGCCATCCAGCCATCTCATCCTCTGTCATCCCCTTCTCCTCCTGCCCTCAATCTTTCCCAGCATCAGGGTCTTTTCTGATGAGTTGGCTCTTCACATCAGGTGGCCACAGTATTGGAGCTTCAGCTTCAACATCATTTCATCTAATGAATATTAAGGGTTGGTTTCCTTTAGGATTGACTAATTTTATCTGTCTGCAGTCCAAAGGAAAGTATAATATGCAGAACTGTTAAGTTTTGATAGATAATTTTTCGAATGATATGTTTAAATCACTTCAGTAGGTAATGACAGTTTATATTATTAAGCACATGCAGAGACACCAAGGTGTGATCAAGCTTGCCAGGATAAGGAACAGGAAAAAGGCTGCTGCAGCTAGAGCATAGCAAGTGGTGGATTAATGTGCTAAGAAAAGAGTTGGGAAAGTAGGCGAAATCATATCACATGCAGCTTCATAAGCAGGGTGAGAAACTGACAGGTTATTCTCATAACAACAGGAAGCCATTGAAAGGCTTTAAATCAGTAAGTGCTTAATCCATCTGCTTAAAGAATCACTCTGGCTACTGAGTGGGTGAAGAAGAATGAACTTTAGTAGGACAGGAGTGAAAGGCCAGTGACCAGTTAGAAAGTTCTTTCAGTGGTCTGGGTGTGAGATGACGGGGCCTTGGACTAGTATGGAAATAGTATAGAGAAGTAAATAATAGGTTTTGCATGGGAAGTTCATAGAATTTGTTGATAGATTGAGATGAGGAAGTGAAGGGAAAAGGAATCAAAAGGTATTTTAAGAGTTTTCTTTGTAATAATGAGTGGATGATGGTGCTATTTCCTGACATGGGAAAGATTGGAGCAGGGATAAGTATTGTGGATTCTCAAATTTGAGACCCTCATGAGATATATATATATGTGTGCAGGTACAAACATGTGTGCAGGGGTAAGAATTAAGGATTCTGTCTTAAATTTGAGAACCTCATTGGGAGTGTGTGTGTGTGATCTGTGGTTTGGGGGTAGGGCATCACGGTGGGTGTTGTAGATACGGCACTTCAGTGGTGTTCGTTGCCATGACTCTGGGAGGTTCTGAGTCTGTGGCTAGAGAAGGAGGACCAGAAATGAGCCCCCAGGGGCACTTTAAAATTGAAACATAAACAGGATGTGAAGTTGCAACTTAAGAGAAAGAACAGGTAACAGGGAACTGGAACTCGGAAATGTGATGGTAAATTAAGAAGAAATGTTGAGTATGCATGAGAATACATGACAGGAAATCTGATCTTGTAGTGAGTGGTCAAAGAAGACTTCTGAGGGTGTGACAGATGAACAGAAGTTAGTGATAAAGCCTATGAAGAAAATAAAAGAGGCAGCTCTGTAAAAAAGATAAGTAGAAGTTAGCAAGAAACAAAGATCATTGAGGAGGATAAGAGTATTCCAGTCAGGTTGAAGAAAAGAAAGGTGAGTCCTCTTACATTATTATCAATAGTGTTAGTATACTACTGTAATGGGCTTCCAGAATCTCCTGCAATGCAGGAGATCTGGGTTCGATCCCTGGGTTGGGAAGATGCCCTGGAGGAGGGCATGGCAGCCCACTCCAGGATTCTTGCCTGGAGAATCCCATGGACAGAGGGGCCTGGTGGTCTACAGTCCCTGGAGTCACAAAGAGTTGAACATGACTGAGCAATTAAGCACAGTACTATATTGTGTACTTATCCTTTTATTATGTTAGGGCAGTTTTTATATTAATTTTTATATTTTTTCTTCCTATTTGTGTTAATGTTTTCAAATAACCAGAAGTTTGTGTAATTATGAACGGAGAGTACTAAGCCAGGCAAAATTCGAAAACTAAGACCTTCAGTGGATCAGAGTAGTAGAGAGGTCCTTTTGAAAGAATGGCCCTTCCAAAAGAAGGGAAGCTAGGGCCTGCCGCCGTAGTTGATTCTCCTCTCGTTGAGGGGTGCTCCTGGAGGTGTTTTGACTGCCTCACACTTCTGGGTTAAGCCTTGCTCAGCACACTCCGTTTTGAGTAAAACTCTGACCCCTGTGTGCTGCAGCTGCGGCTGAAGTCAGGCTGGCCAGGGGCTGTGCCGGCACCAGAAGCCTCGACTGCGAGCCTAGTTTATGACGTCACCTTGCTCTAGATGAGCTTATACGAGAAACGTTACCAGGGAACTAAATCAAAGGGATGCATGCTATTGGTGTTTGTTTTATACTCAACCCAATAAAATTGGAGTATTTGCTTATGTCTGATCATTTAAAAAGATGTGTTGGTTGAGAACTTAGAAGCCATTGCCTTATTCTTATTCTCATAAAAGTGCATGGGCCTGGGGAGGCCCATTTTTTTGTTGGAAGAGAACCAGAGCCTAGGTACCCCGGGCTCTGGCCTCGAGAGATGCCAAACCCTCGTTTCTTCAAAACAACAGCTCACTTTGCTGATACCCTATTCATTAGGTAGCTCTTTGCAGCAGAGTCTTATTACCCTGCAGCTCCTTTGCCTCTTGAAACAGAAAGAATATGAAAGTTATTTTTAATGAGTTGTTAGAAAAATGACTGCTGTGACATCACAAGAGCATTGTTCGTATTGCAGGTTTGATGCCTCTTCATGGAATTAAACATAAACTTAGATATATTGACCTGCATAGTAATTGTATCGATAGTATCCATCACCTACTTCAGTGTACAGTAGGATTACACTTCTTGACTAATCTTATTTTGGAAAAAAATGGAGAGGATAATCCTGTCTGTCATTTACCAGGTATGAATGATTCACTTAATACTTTTTATAACAATGATATTAAAAGGTTCTTTATTTTCTGCAACTACTGTTTATAACCTCCTTGAATTTGTCTTAAACTTTGCAGCTTAATAGCTTTGGAAGAATATAATTACAAATAAATTATTTTAAGACTAAATTACTGTTAAAAGAGGGATACAGACTGAACAGATAAGTAATTGTATTTAGATAGTTTTATATTTAATAAATGATGCTTCAAAATTAAATTGTGTTTATGATATATTCCTATAATACTAAGCAACCATACAAAAAAAGAATATAGAATTTCTATAGCTATTGATAAGTAGTTATCGCCAAGATATACCACTGTTAAGAGAAAGAAAAGCAAGCAGGTTGCAAAGCATTGTGTATAGTAGGCTACTATTTGTGTGCAAAGGATAACTGTGTGTGTTTGCTGAGTATACATATAAAAGAGCTAGAAGGATTCACAAAAAAACTGATAATAATAATTAGCTTCAGTATTTGGTGGGTAGGGATCAGGAAATGTTAGAAAAACTTTTTACTATCTTCTGAACTTTACACCATGTGAATGTCTTAAATTATTAATAAGTAAATGATTTTTTTAAGAAGAAAGCTTAAATTTAATATGATGTATAGAAGATGCTACTGAAATGCCATTTGATCTTATTCAAAATCATTGAGATCTGTGAAGATAAAGTGGACCAGACTGCCATTTCTAGAACTCATTTATCTCAAATTGCTTAACCTAACAATAGGATTCAAATGTAGCATATGAACATACATTCTCAAAATCTTTTTGGATAGAAGTTGGCTGAAGAGGCTCCAGTCTCATTAATATGCATTTATAAGAAGGCTTTTCCCAAAATGGAAACCTGCTTTCATAGTTTTACTTTCAGAAGAATATGTTAGGTTTGAGATCACCTGTTTTCCTAAGCCCACAGAATAATAGAATCTCCCTGAAAATCAGAACAGATTTCTGTTTGGGAGGGAAACCCTTTTCTTAGAAGAAAACCTTATCCCTAAGACAATTTATTTTCCTTTACTAACCCACAAGGTGGATTTATTTTTTCTAATTATCTCATCTCAAGAGCCTCTAGTTCCAATAGTTTGAACCCTTGTTTTTCCACTTTCTTTCCTAGACGAGGTATTTCTCTGAACACAGTTGCTCACTCCCCAAAGTTATTTATTACTGAAGTTACTTTTCTTTCCTTAAAATTTCTAATGTTAATTTGCTTGACTTCTTTCTTTTGGAGTTTTATCCAACCACTTTATTTGCAGTTGAGCAAAATTAATTAAAGCATTTTTGTTAGCCTAAAAACCAAATTTATGTTCACTTGCCAGCTTTCTCCTATTTAGTTGTACTTAAGGAAGATGATCATATTTTTAAATACTCAATAGATTGCCTGTTTTAATCCTAGTTACATGTAGTGTAAGAGGAGAAAGCAGAAATGTTTAAGCTGGTTAATACTTATAGCCTCACTAGCAAAATTTTGATCTCTGATTGTTATTCTATCATCCTGATTTACATCTGTACTAGTTGTATTACAGATAAGCAAGGGTTATGTTTGGCCTCCTGTCTAGAGTACATTGCTACTGGTTTTGTGCATTTATACCTTTAAGGCAGTCTTATGAACAATGCAGAAATGATACTAACTTTCTGATTTCATCAGGAGGATTGTTTGGGAGGGATTTGGGCATAGTGTTTTGTTTGTTCTGTATTTAATGATTGCACACTGGAGAAGAATTGAGTAGTTTTTTGTTAGTTTATTAGTTGCATTCCAGGACTCATTTTATCATTCAGGTGATATATGTCGTAGCTGATAAGTTTACTTTATTCTAAACGTAATAAACCTTTTTTTTAATGCTTGAGTTTTCATTTGAATGATTTGTTTCCAAGGATACAGAGAAGTTATGCTCCAGACTTTGCCGCAGCTCAGAATCCTAGATTGTAAGAACATATTTGGTGAGCCAATAAACATGGCAGAAATAAACTCATCACACCTACAGTGCTTTGAAGGTCTTTTGGATAATTTAGTTTCTTCTGATTCTCCCCTAAACATAAGTGAAGATGAGGTATAGTACTGTTTTGTTTTTCTAATGTAAAAGATGTTTTCAGATTTTAATAAATGTAAGTGTAAAGGGTTCTGGTTTGCCTCTGTGTCCCAGATCACTGATGGGATGCCAGTGGCGCCCCCCGTCAATGAGGCAGCGCCTTTGGATCAGTTTGTAAGCACACCAACAGATACTGGTTTGACATCGCTCATGTCTGTGTGTCCCTCTTCCGAGCCAGAGAAAGGCAATCATGAAAATGATCTTCAGAATGAGATGAAACTGCAGAAATTAGATGACCAAATTTTACAGCTTCTCAGTGAAGTAAGTCATTTTCCTGCTTTTCTAAGCAGTGTGTTTGTTGAAGAAAAAAATTAAGAAAATGGGCAATAAAACTGCATACAAGCTGACCAACCAGAAACCATCTGTATTTATTGCATTGGTGTGTATGTTTATTTTTTTTTTCTTTAAAGTAGGATTCTGTTGTAGTAGTGGTGGTAACACACTTGTTTCACTCATTTTCCTCAATGATTTTCTTCAAATCGTATGTAGTTCATTGGGTGTTCTGCTGTACTTCACGTTAGCTCCACCCATCTACCTTTGGATTCAGTGCTTACTAACACAGAGGATGTATGAGCGACTTTTGGCCTCTACTTTCTCTTCAGTTGTTTTTATAGTCAAAACCACTTCCAGAACTTACACCTAAGTGGCAAGTTAAAATTCCTGCTTCAGTTCCTGGGAGCGGGTAATAGAAAATGCTTATGGAATGATTATAGTTCACTGGTTTGTAATAATTCTGAACTATTATCTTTAACACTAGCAATGCTTAATAAACATGAGACCTACCTTAGGTGAGTATGTGCATAAGACTGTAAGGATCCCATGTGCCAGAAATCCCTGGAGGTTTCAGCTTGGGCTACAGAGGTAGGTCAGAGAAGAGGTAGGTCGGAGGAGAGCCAGGACGGGAGTGCTGGCAGATGCATTCTTTGGCATCACTGATAACACCCCACCGAGCTGGTAGGACCTTTGTCTCCTCAGAGCTCGTCCTCCATCCTTTCTAATGGCCTCCTCTTTTGCCTGTGTCAGAGCTTAGATTTAATCTTAACATCCTCATTCGAAGTGAACTTTCAGCTTCTCTTAGGCCATCCTCATTTCATTCTCACGACAATTCAATCAGGGAGATAAGGATTAATATGTTGTTATTGTAAAATAGAAACTCAGTTTATTTGAGTCCTTTATTTTAGCGAGGCAGGGTTGAAGTTCAGACTCAAATGTCCTGAAACCCACTCTGGTGTCCTTTCCACAATCATGCGTCTCAGTGGCCATTCCTCCTACTTTATGAGTGAGAATAGGAGTCTCGCCTGTGGGGGACGGCGGGGCAGCAGGGGACAGGGTGATTTGTTGCTACACATGTAAAAATGTTTGAGAGAAGGGCCTCTTGTGCAGTGCTGTGCTGTGCTAAGTTGCCTAATAACGTCTGGCTCTTTGTGACCCCATGGACTGTCGCCTGCCACGCTCCTCTGTCCATGGGGATTCTCTAGGTAATAATTCTGGAGTGGGTTCCCACGCCCTCCAGGAGATCTTCCCAACCCGGGGGTTGCGCCCAGGTCTCCTGCCTTGCAGGTGGATTCTTAGCTATCTGAGCCACCAGGGAAGCCGAAACGTACTAGAGTGGGTCACCTGTCCCTTCTTCAGGGGAGCTTCCCGATCCAGGAATCAAACCCAGATCTCCTGCATCACATGTGGATTCTTCACCAGCTAAGCTGCCAGGGGAGCCCTTCTTTTTCACTACCTTAGTATAAAGGGCGAACATGCAATTTGAATTTCAGTTGATATATACACTTAAATTATAAGTAAAGTCATAAAGTTACTGAAAATGTGCTATAATATAGTTATTCTTTCTAATTGTTGTACTTTAATCATTATACTAATTGTGAGAAATCTTTCTGTGAAAGACTTGTCTTTAGGTTTTCATTTTTCAACACCATTTTATTATGAATGTTTTAAAACTTAGAGCAATATAAGAGACTTTCTTAGTGAATACCAATATATCCACCAATTAGATTCCACTATCAACATTTTACTGTATTTATTTCATCATATGTCTATCCATTTATCAAACTGTATTATTCTATGACACATTTCAAAGTGAATTGCCCATGTCAGNTAATCAGTCTGATTTCGGTGTTGACCATCTGGTGATGTCCATGTGTAGAGGCGTCTCTTGTGTTGTTGGAAAAGGGTGTTTGTTCTGACCGGTGTGTTCTCTTGACAGAATCCTGTCAGTCTTCACGCTGCCTCACTTTGTGCTCCAGGGACAAGCTTGTGTGCTACTCCAGGCGTCTCTTCACTTCGTACTTGCCATTCCAATCCCCTGTGACAAAAAGGACATCTTTTTTTGGTATTAGTTCTTGAAGGTCTTATAGGTCTTCATAGAACAGATTTAACTTCAGCTTCTTCAGCATTAGTGGTTGGGGCGTAGACCTGGATTATTATAATATTGAATGTTTTGCCCTGGAAGTAAACCGAGATCATTCTGTTGTTTTTGAGATTGCACCCAAGTACAGCATTTTGGACTCTTGTTGACTATGAGGACTACTCCATTTCTTCTAAGGAGTTCTTGCCCATTCCCTTCCATTTTAGTCCCTAATTCCTAAGATGTCGAGGTTCACTCTTGCCATCTCTTGCTTGACTACGTCCAACTTAGCTTAGACCTAACATGGACCTAACATTCCAGGTTCCTACAAAAATACCGTTCTTTACAGCATCAGACTTTACTTTCACCCCCAGACACATCCATGACTGAGCATCATTTCCCCTTGGCCCAGCCGCCTCATTCTTGCTGGAGCTGTTAGTAATTGCCCTCCACTCATCCCGGTAGCATATTGGACACCTTCCGCCTTGGAGGGGCTCATTATCCAGTGTCATATCTTTTTGCCTTTTCACAGTGTTTCATGGGATTCTCATGTCAAGAAAACTGGAGTGGTTTGCCCTTCCCTCCTCCAGTGGAGCACGCTTGTCAGAACTCTTCCCGTCCAACTTGGGTGGCCCTGCGTGGCCCAGGGCTTCCTTGAGTTACACCAGGCCCTTTGCCATGACAGGGCTGTGGTCCAGGAAGGGAACTGAACAGGAGCAGCGACAATGCGTGTTACCCAGACTTACGTGGAGATAAACATCACTGTCTTAGAATGTCCTCTCACGCTGCTTCTCACAGGCGATCCTCTCCTGCTTTCCACCCCCATCCCCACCACACAATCACTTTTCTCCTCTTTTTTACCATAGGTTATTTAATACTTCTTCCACAACCTAATGTAAATGTAATTATGCAGTATGTAACACTTTTGTGTAAGGCCTCTTTCACTCAGCATAACCTTGAAATCAGTCTGTTATTACGTGTATCAGTAGTTTTTATTGCTATATAGTATTCCATTGTATGAGTATTCTAAAGTTTATTTTTCCATTATCTCTATTGATATGCCACTGGATTCCTTCCAGGTTTGTGAATAAAACTGAACAGTACAGTGCAAGTTGTTTTGTAAACTTATGTCTCCATTTCTCTTCAGTAAATAGCCTAGAACCAGACTTTAGATTACAGAGTAAGTGTTTATTTAGGTAAATAAGAAACAGCCCATGCTTTCCCAAGGTGACTGTTCCATCCTACACCCACCAGCAGTGTATGACTGACTGTTCAGTGGTTCCACATACTCAACAGGGCTTCCTGTCAGCATTGATCTTATTTTATCCATTCTAGTGAGCGTACACTGGTATTAGTTGTAATTTTAATTTGCATTTCACTGATGATGGTGATGTTAAGCACTTTTTCATGCTTATTGAATTTTTTGTGAAGTGTTCAAAAATCTTGCCCATATTTTTATTGAGTTGTTAGTCTATTACTGGGTTATAATAATCTATTTTGTATCTTGAATACTAATGTTTTGTCAGATACATTTTATCCCAACCTGTGAATTGTATGTTCATTCCCTTAATGGTCTTTTGATAAGCAGCAATTTTAATTTTACTGATTTTTTGGGGGGTCTATTTGTGCATTCATCTGTTTCCTGACATTCTCTCAACATTTGCTTTTTATATTTTAAAGCTGTGTTACTAAGCACATACACATTTATGGCTACTTTTTCTTCCTAATGAACTGACCCCTCTTGTCATTCTGAAATGTACATTTATGTCTTTCCTCAGTTTGGGAATTTTTGGACATTATTGCTTCAAATATTTTCCTGTCCCATTCTCTTCCTCTTCTTTCAAATTTCATTTAGGCCTTTTGATGTATCCCACAGTCCCCTGTGGCTCTGTACATTTTATTAATTTTTTCCTCTGTGTTCTTCATATTGAATAATTTCACTGAACTATCTTCAAGTTTACATACTCTTTCTTTTATCATCTCATTCTCTGTAGTGTGGCCAGTCAGTTTTTACTTCAGACATTGTATTTTTTCAGTTGTAAAATTTCCACTTTTTAAATAATTTTTACTTTTCTGCTGAATTTTATTTTCATTCATGATAAGCATTTTTTATATCATTGAGCATAGTTATGATCAGTATTGTAAAGTTCTTCTCTGCTTATTTTAACATTTAGGTCTCTGTTGATTGCCATTTCTCCTGAGAATAGGTCATATTTTCCTGGTTCTTCCTATTGTGAGTAATTTTGGATTTTGTCCTGGACAGAGTGAATGTCATTTTGTGGAGACTTTAGATGCTGCTGTAGGCCTCCAAAGAGTGTTAATAATTTTGTTATAGCAAGCATTTAATTTGCTTTGATTTAACTGCTGCTCTTTTGAATCCTTTACTGAACTTCCTACAGTCTATTCCATACTCTCTAATTCTTCAGACTCTATAAAGTTTGTGGTTTTTCCACTTGAGTTTTAAGACTCCTTACATAGTGCCGATTGTGATATGTTCTTAGGCTAAAAACCATAAGGCAGAAACAGTTAATTCTGGTCATTTTTTCAAGAGTCAACTCTTAGAATAAGCCTGCTCCTGTTCACTTTCCAGAATATCTAAGTAGTTTTTGTTTCATTTGTATTTCTGCCCTGGTTTGTAACTGTGATCTTGAGAGAATCAAATCTCATACGATCATACTTGTTCATACTAGAAGCTGAATCCCTTGTCTTTAATTGCAAACATACCTAGTTTATAAATCCTTAAACTTATAAAAGTTTTAAAATTTTAGAAAACATCAAATTATACTCTTTTATACCAAAATGAACTTTTAAAACACTTTGTTGTTGTTGTTTTTTTATTCTAGACTTCTAATTCTATAATAGATAATATTCCTGAGAAAGATCCCAGGCCAAAAAGAGACACAGATGTAACTTCTGAAAGTGACTATGGAAACAGAAAAGAATGTAGTAAGAAAACTTCTCGAAGATCGAAAATCCCCTATTATTCCAAAACTATTCAGACTATTAAACACCACAGTAAAAACAACAGTACTTTTATAAGGTACTTCTTTTAGTTCTAGAAATTCAGATAAGACACACAGACGTTTATACTCCCAATTCCTTCCTTAAAGCTGCCTCGTGGTCTTATTTCTTTTTACTTTCCTAATGTCAAAGATTTGACTTTTCAGCCTTGCCAGCTCAGGTTTGGTCAGTATATTCATATAAATGTATATAAAAGGATCTCTTTATGCTAGATTGTCATTACCTAAGTTGTAAAAACTATAAGTGTCATACATTTCTTTGGGTTATTAACTGTGTTTTTTATTTGCAGTTGTAATCGTAAAATGAAACCACCTTTCCTTAAAGAATTATATGTAAGTTCGTCTTTGCCAAACAATAGTACGTTAGAAGACTCAGAAAACCAAAAGACTGAAATAATGAAAGTAAACAACGATGGCTCAGAAGGTGCCACTTACCGGGTATGATTCAAGAGATGAAGAGAAATTGAATATGAATAATCTTAGTTTTAAATACAAGTTAGTACCAGAAAAACAATGCCTGTTTTTTTGAGTACAAAATATTTTATTGAGGGGATGAAGTTGGGTTTTTCCCCGTCCTGATTTCCAGATTTTGTGTAATGTCACTATTTTTATAATTTTTAAAGGAGTGAAAATTACACATTTTAGATCAGATTTTAATGAAATCATTTTGTCATATGCTTCAGAAGGAGAAAATAGGTCTAAATTTTCAAATTCTTCCTAAAACAGTGATTCCTAACTTAGGAGTCTTAGAGTCTTTTAAGTATCTAAGGAAATCTCTAAGTCTTCTCAGAGAAACTTTCTTAGAGAAACTCATAAGGTATTTTGAGTAATATTTTGAAAATAATTTCAGGGTTTTCATGGATTCTTTTGAAACCCAATTTTGGACCCATGGTTTCCAGATTTAGAGTCATTTAGGAATTTTTAGTACACATTGATTTATTTTATAATTTTTACTTACTTTCCCTTATTTTACTTGTGAACAGCTGGTTATACTTTTCATTGTAAAGTACACTTTATTTCCAATATTATGCTATTGGTTTTTTCCTCTTGTTCTCGGTTATAAAGGCCTTAGTATTTAGAAAATAGTAATAGTTATTATGACAGTAATAATAGCAGTTAGCGTTTATTGAAGGCTTCCCAGGTGGTAAAGAACCTGCCTGCAAGTACAGATGTAACATATGCTGGTTCGATCCCTAGGTTGGGAAGATCCCCTGGAGGAGGGCATGGCAACCCACTCCAGTATTTCTTGCCTGGAGAATCCCAAGGACAGAGGAACCTGGCAGGTTATAGTCTATAGGGTCACAAAGAGTCAAACAAGACTGAAGTGACTTAGCACACATTCAGACATTTTTTAAGTGGTTATATTATGCCAGGCAGTATTCTGCATGCTTTACTTCCATCTTTTGTTTAATTCTCACAATAGCCCTTTGAGTTAGATACCTTTATTCCCATATTATAAATGAGAAAATTGAGGCAGTGATAGGCTACGTGACTTTTCTGAGTTCACATAACAAATATATTGGTGTATTTTTTAGGCACTTGTTGAGGAACTAGATGAAGAGAGAGAGAAGAGATGGAAAGCGGAACAAACTGAAAAGAAGCTTATGGATTATATTGATGAACTGCATAAGCATGCAGATGAAAAAAAAGATATTCATAGCCAGGCTCTGCTTGCCACAGACAGGTAAGGGAAAAGTCTGTACACCTAAGGTTATCTCGTAGGACAAAAAAGTGTTGAACTTGGAACTAGAAATGCCTCCAACTAGCTGCAGTATGATTGAAAACTATGCATGTGGTTTTAGTTTGAATTGACCTAATTTTGTTTAAAGACTTTGGGCTTTATCAGCTTTTTTATATAGACAGAGGATTCAGGATATTAATTTGAGCCCTCAAGGTGGGAGATGTCAGATAGATAAAGTATTACAAGTGAAAAACAGGAAAAGCATAGAGCAGGGATTGGCAGACTTGTTCTGTAAGTGACAGGTCTTAGCATACTTTTTCTATAGGTTTTTGGGTCATGATCAGTCTCTGTGTGCTATTCTCCACAATGGACTTCGGTATCAGATAACCCACGTTTCTTAATTCTAATGTTTTTATTCAGTCTTATTTCATTTCCCATTTTATCTTTTTTTTTTCTATATTGTATTATGTAATACAGGAATGTCTTATTCTAATATGTGAGAATACCACACAGTTTTTCTGAAATGACAATAACTTTTTTCTTTGGTTTCCTGTAGGCAATTATTTCTAAAGTTATGCTTTTTCTCAAAAGGTTAAAGATTTTGTCCATGGAGTTCCTTTTGATTTTTATCTCTTCTTACCCTTGAACAAGCACAAGATTTCTAGACTTGGTATTTGCCAACAAATCAAAGACATTAGGAAGTTGCTCTTGGTTCCATTTCCTACCTACAGATACAGTAGATAATTCCCTTTCTACAGTCTTCATTGATTAGTAAGTTTGTATACATGGGCCCCAGCCCAATTCCCAGATTCTGTTTATGCATATAACTAGTAAAGTTTTGTGGTCCTGATGTGGTATTTTTTAGCAGATTCTCTCATTCTTTGTACCTGTGGAATATAAGGAAAATTTCAATACGCACCATGTGTTCAGTGAAAACCTCTATAATTAGGCAAACTATGATTCTTTATGCTATTACTTGGCAATCCACCACTTACCCATCAATTTCTTACCTTATATGTTTTGGAAGTTGCTATTCCTGATAGAATAAGATGCTGGACAAATGTAACAACAGAATGGGTGAGTAACAGTCCTATAACCATTTAGAAGAAACAGCACTTTTATTTGCAGGAGGTGCACAGGTAGCCAGCAGTTTAATGATAGATATATAGAGACTGTGTGACTTGATGAGACACAATCAAACAATGAAAGAGAGGGATTTATCTTCCTTTTTCATTTAGTTCCCTTTGCTTAATATTGAGATTCCTCCCAGATTTTGGCATTGTGCTTTCTCTGTTTAGAGTCATTTGCAGATGCAGCTTTGTTTTACTCCACTTTGTAAGCATTATCTAGTGGAATATTAAAGGACGCTGTGTCTGGGATTGCGAGCCAGATGCTATTTGAATTGGAAAGCTTTGGACATGCCTCATCTTCATCCTCCTTAACCTCTCTGTTGTTGTGTCATGTTTCCGATGTTACATATTCATTGTTTTCTTGCAAACTTAGCTTCAGTTTGTACTGATTCATCTATCCCCCAAAACGGGTTTTGGAGATTAGATCCTCACCAGTCTTCCTATTCCCTTATGTGACTTGGTAGGGACTCTGTATTCCTCATACCTATACAGGGTCTGACATCTAGGTACCAAGCTATGAGTACATATTATCTCAAAAACTGAATCTTCTCTATTGTTTTGAGTCCCTAAGTTTTATCTGACTCTTTGTGACCCCATGGATTATAGCCCATCAGGCTCCTATATCCATGGGATTTCCCAGGAAAGCATACTGGAGTGGGTTGCGATTTCCTTCTCCAGGGAATCTTCCCAACCCAAGGATCAAATTCACGTCTCCTGCATTGACAGGTGGGTTCTTCACCACTGAACCACCTGAGAAGCCAAATCTTTGATCTCTGCTGTGCTTTTAATGGCAAGCCACTTCAGTATTCTTGCCTTGAGAATCCCATGAACAGTAGGAAAAGGCAAAAAGATAGCACACTGAAAGATGAAGTCCCCAGGTCGGTAGGTGCCCAGTATGCTGCTGGAGATGAGTGGAGAAATAACTCCAGAAAGAATGAAGGGGTGGAGCCCAAGCAAAAACAACACCCAGTTGTGGATGGGACTGGTGATAGAAGCAAGGTCTGATGCTGTAAAGAGCAATATTGCATAGGAACCTGGAATGTTAGGTCCATGAATGAAGGCAAATTGGAAGTGGTCAAACAGGAGATGGCAAGAGTGAACATTGACATTTTAAGAATCAGTGAACTAAAATGGACTGGAACGGGCAAATTTATTCAGATGACCCTTATATCTACTACTGTGGGCAAGAATCCCTTAGAAGAAATGTAGTAACCCTCATAGTCAACAAAAGACTCTGAGATGCAGTATTGAGGTGCAATCTCAAGAATGACAGAATGATCTCTGTTCATTTCCAAGGCAAACCATTCAATATCACAGTAATCCAAGTCTGCGCTGACCAGTAATGAAAAGAAGCTGAAGTTGAATGTTTCTATGAAGACCTCCAAGACATTCTAGAACTAACACCCAAAGAAGATGTCCTTTTCATTATAGGGGACTGGAATGCAAAAGTAGGAAGTCAAGAAACACCTGGAGT